TGAGCAGTGCTAAAAACCACAGAGTGGTAAGATCAGTTTTCTTGACCTATCCACTTTAACGGATGTTCCGGATATCCCAGAGGATCATCAATGGACCCTGTGGTCCATTTTCCAGTCACAACTCCGAGTTCATTCTGATGAGTTGTCTATTATTTTCCAAAGAAGCGTTCATGATCCCCAGGGTCTATTTTCCGATCATAACTCCGAATTCATAATTATAAGACGTCTATGAGAGTTTACGAAAAAAAAAATCGGAGTTCTTGGATCAGTTCTATGAATTGAGCCTTTTTACTAATGTTTCGGATCTTTCGGAGGACCATCCACTGCACAATGGTCCCAAAGCCGTATTTAGGAAGACAAAAATGTTTGCGCCCAAACCTTAAGTTTAAGGTATATAGTGTCTTCGGGAAAGTTTCTTCATATTGTTTGGCCGATCTTCAAAGCAATTTTGCTCAAGACACCAAATGTATATCTCTTAATGAGTTATGATTTTTTAAACAAGCAGGTTAGGATGGCCCCTAAAAAAAAGATTTCTTCGAATATCTTTTCATAAGTTCATTTCTCGTAAAAACTTTGTTTTGGTTACATTTAGAACTTATGATGACGCATATTTTTGCTCAAGCAACCAAGCTGCTATTTTTTTTTTATTATAAGAAAATGAATGGAGATTTTCTTCGAAAAAATTGTTCTATTTAAATGACAATGTCTCTTAATGGAGCAAACTGATTATCAAAGTTTTGATTTCATTTAAAAAATAGTTTTTTTTTCATTATTGGTGGAAAAAACTGTGAGAGCGTTTTTTGTTTAAAATATTTAATTTTATTTAAAAAAAATCTTTTTTTTAATCAAAAACTAGCCATAACTTTTAAATAAAGGAGATATCAAATTAGTGACTTCTGCAAAAAATATGCGTCACAAAAAGTTTTTAAAATATTTAGAACAATGTTTTTACGAGAGTTAGGGTGGCCCCTAGAAAATCGGCTTTCTTTAAATATTGTTTATACGTTGATCACCAATAAAAATATTTAAAGAAATATTTTCTAGGGGTCAATCTAACCTACTTGTTTAAAATAACCATAAGTCATGAAGCATAAGAGATAAAAATTTGATGCCATTAGCAAAGTTGGTTCAAATTGATTGTTCTACAACTTTTTAGAACACTACATTAGTCTATCTCAAGTAATAAAAAAGGTTGAATTTTCAATTCACCAATTTTACGGACCACCCTTATTTCAAAACTGCTAAAAAAACGAAGAAACTTTCCCCAAGACACCATATACCTCAAAGTGATGGTTTTGGTGTTAATATTTTTGTCTTCATAAATACGGCTTTGGGACCATTGTGCATTGGTCCCCAAGGTCTATTTTCTGGTCATAACTCCAAATTAATTCTGATAAAACGCCAATGAGTGCTTTCGAAAAAAGCGGACCTCTAAGCTCTTCTTGAACTGAATTTTTTATGGGTGTTCAGGATCTTCCAGGTGAACCATCTCGTAGTCCTAAAGGTCAATTTTTCGTCTATGCGTTCTTATTCCGGTCACAACTCCAAATTTATTCTGATAAAACGTTTATGAGTGTTTTCAGAAAATTCACGGAGCTCTAGGATCAGTCTCATGAATTAACCACTTTAACGGATGTTCCAGATCTTTCGGTGGACCATCTCGTAGTCCCCAGAGTCCATATTCCAGTCAAAACTCCGAATTAATTGTGATAAGACGTCTATGAGCGGTTTCGAAAAAAACACGGAGCTCTAGAATTAGTTTCATGAATTAACCACTTTTCAGAATGTTTCGGATCTTCCGGTGAACCATCCCGTGGTCCCCAGAGTATATTTTGCGAACACAACTCCAAATTTATTGTGATAAGACGTGGTTGAGTGGTTTCAAAAAAATCCGCGGAGCTAAAGGATCAGTTTCATGAACTGACCACTTTTACGGATATTCCGGATATTATAGTGGACCATTTCGTAGCCCCAGAGTAAATTTTTCGGTCATAACTCCGAATACATTCTGATAAGACGTTTATGAGTGGTTTCAAAAAATACGCGGAGCTCTAGGATCAGTTTTATGAATTGACCACATTTACGGATGTTCCGGATCTTCCGGTGAACTATCCCGTGGTCTCCAGGGTCCATATTCCGGCCACAACTCCGAATTCATTCTGATATGATGTTTATGAGTGGTTTCGAAAAATCCGCGGAGCTCTAGGATCAGTTTCATGAATTGGCCACTTTTACGGATATTCCGGATCTTCCACAGGATTAGACTTGTGTCCTACCGGAAACTGAATCGTCCCAAAAGGTGGCCAACTTTCTGCTTAACAACTTCTCAAAAGACATCAGGAAGTTATCTCTTCAAATTGCCGTACAATCAGTGTTTGGTCCCAATTAGCTCTAATCCCATATGCTACGTGTATTCGTTAATGCCGGATCGACCGTACTATAGGAATCCAAAGGCATCAGTACTATAGGAATCCGGCAAGAACGAATCCGCACTATAGGAATCTAGACTGTACTTACAACTTCCATATGTGGCGAAAAAAAATGAATCGCACAAAATTCATTGCTAGAATAACTAACTGGTGTATTTTTTCTCAAATACGCCATTTACTGCAAAAATTCGTCACGCACCCTGTACTATAAGTCTCATGTAATTTTTATGGCCACAACAACAAATAAATGCAGTAAAAGCAGCGTAATTTCAGTTCATGCACTGTATTAATGATACTTTTGTCCTTTTTGGCAAGTAATATTACACCATATTTTCAACACGATTGAAGTGCATCCACTTTGATGTAATATTAATATTAATTTTTTGCGGTGTGGCCTACTTTCAAGATTGGACCATTTTCCTGGTGATTATGGATATCCACAGGTCCCTTTTTTGGCCATTCGGTAGTGAAGTCGATATTATGATTGCATATTTACTCTATGCTCACGATTGTATGCAATTTAGAAAAAATCACTAATCTATCGGTTTTCATTCATAAATTAACCATATTTTTAATGATGCCGGATATCCAGAGGACCATTTTCTGGCTACTCGGCAAAGAAATCGATATGGTGATGGCATATTTGTAATATGCTAATGATTGTATGCAATTGAGGAAAATTCGCGAATCTCTAGGTCTATTTTCAGGAATTGACCATTTTGTAGATGCTTCCGGTATCCAGAGGTCCGATTCACTCAGTAGCACAATCGATATGGTGATGGTATATTTTCTCTATGCTCATCATTGCATCCAATTTGGAAAAAAATCACGGATCTCTAGGTCTACTTTAAGAAATTGACCATTTCCCCGGTGAATCCGAATTTCCGCAAAGCCACCTCCAGTGGGTTCTCCTGTCCTGACTGGCCAACCACAGGTCCAATCACTTTCTTGTCTATTTCGTTTAAAAGTACACGTCTTCTTCTTCTTTCTCTTCTTCTTCGCATTTCAAGCTTATTGCATATCGCACATTAGCTTATTGTGTGCTCTCAACTTAGTGTTCTAGTTCTAGATGCACTTCCACAGTTATTAATTGAGAGCTTTCGATGCCTGTACCATTTTTGCACTGATATGATTGTGTGGTAAGTCCAATCATACTTCTATGCCCAGGGAAGTCGAGAAATTTTCCAACCCGAAAAATTCCTAGACCGAACCGGGAATCGAACCCAGCCACCTCCAGCATGGTCTTGCTTTGTAGCTGCGCCTTTACCGACTGAGCTAAGGGAGGCCCAGTCATACCTTTCAAATAGTGGCTCAATAGTGGTACACTGGAGTCGCTTTTTACGCGGGTGATACGTCCCGCGTAAAAAAAAACCGCGTAAAAAAAAACCGCGTAAATTCCGGAATCCGCGTAAAAAAAACCGCGTTAATTCCGAAATCCGCGTAAAAAAAAACCGCGTAGAAAAAGACCGTGTAAAAAAACCGCGTAAAAAGCGACTCTAGTGTATAATGATAAACCGCGTAAATTCTGATATCCGCGTAAAAAAAACCAAAATCCGCGTAAAAAAAACCGCGTAAATTCCGAAATCCGCGTAAAAAAAAACCGCGTAAATTCCGAAATCCGCGTAAAAAAAACCGCGTAAAAAGAAACGTGTAAAAAAAACCGCGTAAAAAGCGACTCCAGTGTAATTAAATTGCAGACAACCAGCCATGTCAACATGAATCGACACGCATTTTGCTCGAGATTTTTACGGGTTGTTCTGTTCCGGATGGCCAACCACAGGTCCAACCGGGTATCTATGCAATACATATGAAAGTAGATAGCCATACCTCTCAAATTGTGTCTGAATCATATCTCATTGTTGATAACTAGCCATGTCAAACATACTGGTACTTTGAGGACAAGCCATCAAGGGATTATGTCAGTTAATCATGTTCAATGGTTATCTTTTCTGATGTTGACTATGTTTTGTTAACTGTTTCGTTTGTACATATTCTCATCTAAAGATTTGGTAAATTTCACCTCAGAAATTCTTTCACTACTCAAATACATCCGTTTCATATACCGTGCTTTGATTTTCCAGCAATAAATCTTATCAGTTGACAGCCGCGTGACCAACACCTGATGACTAATTTATATTTTTGCTGAAACCTTCCCTCTGCTCACTCGCGCTAACATAAAACCAAACCACCTTCAGTATTTTCTCTGAATCATCACTTTTCGCTCCCTTATTTTCCCTGTTCCATTCTCGCTCTCATTTTCTTCACTGTCTCTCTCACTCAGCTTTTTTGTTTTGACACGATTTTCCTCGATCGACGCTCGCTCCCCGTATGTTGTGCTTCTTTCCATTCAACACTCCAGCCAGCAGCGAGGAAAACCAGCACATTGATGGAAATGCGTTTGCGATTGTGATCTTTCGCTTGAGCCCCCAACCATCGACGACGGGAGAGCGTGGAAGAGAGCGAGAGAAAAATGAAATTCAGCGTGGGTTGGGATGGGATTGGGAGAGAACAAGACTCGAACCATGGTGCTAGTGATCAAGCATTCGTCAGTTTAGAATCAGACGGCTTGCAAGTTGGAGTGCTAGCGTTTTTTAAGCGTGCGCCTGGTGAATTGAAGTTTTTTTTTTATATGCTATGTGATGTTTAAGCAATTCTTGGCGTACGAAGCCTGCTAAATCCCACGGAGGTTTTCGTAGTTCGCGCATTGAAGTTTCTCGTTTTCGGCTTGATGTATGTGTTCAGACGTGTGTGAAGAGTGAATAGTGAGTATAGTGTTGCACCACCGTAGAGAAGAAGTGAGTGCAAAGGAGGAATAGAAAGATCGTTCCTACCTGTTCTTTCCCATTGATCCCTCCTGGGTTTGGTACACTGTCAAGACCTGCCGCAGCGGCCTGCGGGTTTCAACCGTTCCAAGGTGTGCGTACGCTGTCTGTATGCTTCGGCATCTGCTGCTGCTGCTGCTTCTGCTTCTTCACCGTACCCGTGTTGTTGTTCGATTTCCGTCGACAGTACACATGTAATTATTTATCTTCCCGAGCTTATATGGTGTAGAATCTTTAAGTGAATGGAAAACGGAGTGCTTTAGAGATTGTGTGCATTATTCAGATTGATCGTTGGGTACTTTCGGGGGCCAAGAGGGTCATCGAATGACATCATGCCCAACGGGATGGCCTGTGGAGGCCGCGAAGGATCGGCGAGATTAAAGTGCGATCGTTTAATCAAACTTTGAGATAGAAAAAAGCAAGAGGATTAAGTGAAACGAAGCTACCGCAGCTCTAGAGCGGTCGGAGTTGCAGTCAAGATTCAACAAGTGACCCCCCCCTGCAGTGTGATACAAGTGCCTCGCGAGCGGTAAACGAAGAGTGGTTAAGTACAGAAAATAAAACGTGAAAACCGAGAACCCGCGCGCTGTGAAACGAAGCACTGATTTGAATGAAGTGTAAAGCGAAAACCTGATTTTCATTCATAAACCGAGGAGAATTGCGAGATACCTACTCCGACACCAACCACTCGGCTCAGTGGGACCCCCTTCCGCCCCTTTCCGCACGAAAGTCCAAACAAACCACCCCATCCGAGGAAGACCTGAAACAACACTCGTACCAATTTCTATTATACAATGTATTTAGAGCTCACGGCTTATTAGTAATTCAATTGTGGAATTGTTGTTTTTTCGTTGAAGCTGAATAAAAAAACACACAGACCAAAACCGGCGTTACTCTTCGTGGATGACCCCAAGAAAAACAAAAGAAGATTCGCATGAAGAAAGAAGAATTATTCGAGTTTGAAGCAGATTAATTAAATCGTGACCAAAACACGAATTACGAGCGCAGTGAGGACCCTTCGGAAACAGCAATCAAAAAAAAAAAATCGACCAAAAGAAGAAACCAACCACGACCAACCTGGTCTTGGAACCGTGAAATGGAAAACCGAAACAGTGTGTTCGTGTTCTTGAAAATTTGATTGTTTTTAATTGTATCCCATTAGAGCTGGGGTAGTTACACTGAAGGAAAATTAAATAATAAAAAAAAACAACGAATACGTCGACGCGACGGATGTTGGGTTTGATAATTTAATCGAGAATTACGCAAGGCGCCCCCAGTGACAACAGTCCCAGATCGAGTAACAACCGAAGAAAAGTGTGCAGTGTTTGTGTGTTGATTTAGGTGTGATTTGCGAAACAGAAACATGGGAGACACCATGATGGAGCAGTGGAAGTGGAAGCTGTTCCTGGTGCTGTTGGTTCAACAGATTGGCACCGGTAGCTGCTATCTCAAGGATTACATCCACAAGCAGGAGGATAACGAAATGAGAGGTAAGTGAGGATGGTGTGCGGGCTTTGGTTATTTGTTGGGATATGGATCTTGTTCGTTTACTTTCCCTGATTTACGGCAATGATGGATTTCCTGGTCAAAGTACCTTTTCCTGGGTACATTGGAAACTACGATGATCAGGGTAAATTCTATATTTAAGGGTTTAAATCAAATTTACTAGGTACATGCTCAATTTCTCAAAGGGAATAGTTCTAGTACCTTGGTCACCTGGTTCAGTGGGCCATTAAGCCGAAGTTTTAAACGTTGTTCATTTTATATCATACGGAATTAGCTTTGTTTCGGTTAAAGAAAAGGATAAGTAACAACATGTTGATGTTCATCAACGATATCAAATATCATTGCTACGACTTTGCGTGCTTTAACACTCTGAACACGGTGGGTAAAATACTTTATGCCGATGTAACAGCAAGTTTGCAATGACATAACCTAACCATTTCTTGATGAAATTCAAAAATTGTGGTTCCTCTAGAATTCATAAGCTCTGTAGATTATTTTAATTGCAGAAAGATTGAAAATAAGGTCGTCTACTTTTCAAAAGCGAAAGGAGTCGTTAAACGTTTTTTAAGGTGTGTTTATTGGTTTTACAAGTGGCTTAAGATCCATAATTTAGATTAATGGGCACACATGTTGATAATTAGATAATGGAGATACCGGAAAGGTCCTCGAAAGATCCGGAACATCCGTAAAATTGGTCTATTCATTAACCCCTGATCCTAGAACTCCTTGATTTTTTCGAAAGCATTTGAAACTGTGATATAAGAAAGAATTTGGTGTCATGACATAAACCTGGACCCGGCTGGCCATGGGGCCGTCCTCTGGTAGGTCCGTAATGACCATCCGGAAAAGAGGTCAACCAATGAAACTGATCCTAGAGCTCCGCAGTTTTTTTTTTCTAAAACATTAGGAACTGTGATATAATAATTTGGGGTCATACTGAATTGATGTCCTAACGATTCAATAGCGCGAAAGAGCTTGGGTTCGAACCCACGGTCTTCTGCTCAGTAAGCAAAATCGGTTGCCACTAGGCTACCGAGCTCCTTGTTTCACAAAACAACGAAGTTTCCGTTTAACTTGTTGTTACTAGGTTTTGATCTCGGCGGCGACTTCAGCGATGACGAAATCAACTGCCCTAACAGAAAAATCCCAAACCCGAACGATAATCCAAATGATAGAGCTATTCCACATATTATTTTGATGATACTCTGAAAATTTTATCAGGGAGCTCTTGAGAAGGATTTATTATGGATATTTGATCAACAGGTCTTTCCTAAAACACGAATATTATTTCTTTTACGTACTCTTTCCTATTACCGATATTCATCTCATATTAAAAAAGAAAACGATTTACACTGTTACTCTTTAATATGAGGGAGCTTGAGATTGAACCAACGGTCTTCTGCTCGGTAAACAAAATTGGACGCCACAAGGTCATCGAGCTCCTTATATCACAAAAAAATTACGATAAAATTCCTGTTCAACTTGCTGTCACTACATTTCGATCCCGGCGGTAACCTCATTGACGCACAGTGGAACAAGGAATTAAATTAGATCAGATTCAAGGGGTGGTCACTCTACACACTTATTTTGCACTGTGTTATTTTTGATCCACGGAGAGTACAGCAAATATCACACGCTGGTAAGGAACATCGGAGGGAAGGGCACGTACGGGTATGTAAAGCTAAGCTACCGGAACTCGGATAGGTTACTGGTGATACTGGAAATACTGAAGAAGAAGCTCGTGCCGCAGTTTTTGATTACAACCGAGGAGAAGCGGGAAATTCCGATGGAAGTGTACCTGTTGACACACGTGAAGCATCCGAACATTGTTGTTGGATCTTTCGACAGAGTGCTAACGCGGTTGCTTTCTTTCACTCGTTGAACATTCTGCACCCGGACATCAAAGACGAGAACGTTATCATCGATCACAATTTCCATATCAAGCTAATTGACTTCGGTTCGCGACGTTCGTACATGAAGGGCACGACCGAGTACTGCAGTCCGGAAGTGTTGACAGGCAACCGCTACTCCGGCCCGGAACTGGAATTTTGGTTTGACGATATCTCCAGCAGAGAGATGCATATTCTTTCCATCGGTCTCACGAGTCTGTATCTGAGTCTGGTCGATGGCGATCGGATTGGCCAACAAACAGCTTTATTACTACTAGTAGACAATTGTGATACAGATGATGGTTAGATACTGCTGGTGATGTTGAATGGTGATGCTGACGATGAGGATGGCGATGGTGGTGCTGGTGTTGGCGACCGGAGAATGGAACGACCGGAAGGAACACTGGAGTCCTTTTTGATTGGGTCGTATGTAACACTTTTGTCAATTAGAGAAACGATGTGTTTTATTATGATAACAAAGAATTGTTTCTATTTTTAATGAAATTCCCATCTACTAACATAAGTACCTACGACTGAGAAAGCAGCTATTGATAGCGTTCCTGTAAAAAATAAACATTTTTTAACCAATCAATGTTATACGACCTTTTACAAGCCGTGGCTTAAATTTGCAGGTCAACTAGTTTATAAGGCAATCTTCCAATTACAATCGGTTATATACCCAACCAAGGCCCACCTACCCTCATTTCAATCCGTTAAATATGATGTAACAAAAGTCGAATGAACGGCTCTATAACATATAGTCTAATTCGAATCGAGATTTAGATATGTACCCCTCGGTACCCAACGCTGAAATTTTCAGGAGCTTAATCTTTCAATCTCAATCGGTTATAGACTCCACCCACCGTATTTTCAGGCCGTTGAATATGACGTAACTAAAGACGCATGATGGGCTATAGATAACATTGACCATTTTGAATTGAGATTTGACTAGGTACCCCTTAGTACCTAACGCTGAAATTTACAGGAGCACTAGTTTATAAAGTAATCTTCCAAATATAATCAGTTTAAGACCTCGCCATGGGCTATATATCACATTGATGTCAGTAAAAAGCATTGGTGTGTTCAGCAAAGTTGTGTTTTTCAATGACCCCAAGAACGTGATGAATTAATCAATTTTGAAAATAAGGACTAATTAAAAAAAAAAAAACAATATTAAGGTAGTCCTAAAAGATAATCAATTATATCTCTTTAGTGTTAAGATGTAGAAACTTGAGCCATAATAAAAACTCACGTGAGACTTTATGTCACTCTACTTATAACAGTCACACCTTTGAATCAACCTTGAGTTTTTTGGCTATGCTTTCTTTCATGAAGATATTTTCACTGTTCGCAAATGTATTTATCTACTGGTGGGTAACGGGTGTGTGTTAGCTTGAAAGTGAAAATGGAACATTGCGCAACGCAGAGATCCAAAATCTAATCGGCTAAGAGAAAAATGAGTGTCATCTTGCCATCTTTCCTTTATTTAACGTCGGTCTCTGTTCCGCAATCTAGTGCCAATCACCGACGGACATCGATTGCCATCTAGTGACGGCAATCGAATGTGCAGGAAGGCAGCTCCACACCTGCGTAGGATATCGCACCCATTCAACACGCATGGGCCGGGACCAACGGCTTTACTTCCCTTCCGAAGGAAGACGTGACCAGAGATTTTTATGCCTCAGAAAAATCCCACCGACCTCGGCTGGGATTGAACCCAGACCCATCAGGGTGTTAGAAAGCAGTCACGCTTACCACTACACCACCGGCGCCGGCTGTCATCTTGCCAGGAAGAGCGGAAAAATAGGTGGTGCAACATGAATTTGAATTGTAGGGGTTCCTGGGGTAAAATGCACCAGTTAAGGAAATTGAGCTGTTTTCTCGTTAGAATTAAAAGCAACAGTGAATATCATGTATTGTCAAGATTCTCTTATTATTATGGCAAAATGCACCCATGCTGGGATAAAATGCACTACAACAAAGGGGCAAGATGCACTATAATGATGAGGCAAAATGCACCCTAAAAATGGGGCAAAATTCAATTCATTAATGGGGCAATATGACTATGCTTGCCGTCTTATAAATGATCATGACCAATTGAGGCAGAAGAACGTATTCGTTTTGACTGCCTCCAGTTACGATCGTAGTTGTTCAAAGGTCCATGATTTCCAAGAATTAAAATGAAACGACTTCCCTGAACTTCAGCAGCCCTTCCCTGAACTTCGGCAGGACTTTGCTGAACTTCAACAGGAGTTCCCTGAACTTTGGCAAGACCATTTCAGTAGTAGAATTATTATAATTATACAAAATTTCCATACTTCCCATTTTTCTAATTTGCAATGCTTGTTGGTATTGGTGCATTTCGAATTTGGATGTGGTTTGAACGGGTTTGGATTCAGTATCAACGGAAAAGCATTAAATTTCACCTTAATAGACTTCGGAACGTTGCAAGCCATTTCTAAAGAAAGAACAGAACGTTAACAAAGCTAGTTTACTAAAAAAATCATTTTGCCCCGAACTTTTTATTCCTTGTTACTCTTATGGAATGCTGTTGTGATGTCAAGCAAACGTTCCATAAGAACTACTTAGGAAAGAAAGAGGCGGTAAATTTAGAACGCATGATCTGTTTATCTGAACAAAGGCACTAGGTTCCGTTTATGGAGCTTATTGACGTTTAATCAGTGCACACTACTGCACCATTTAAATCGAAGAAGTGCAAGCAAAAGGGAAACAGATTAGTGGGAAAACAATGAATCCATTAATATCCGTGTGCTAGATAGAGAACGATCTTAAACGTCAAAAAAGTTGTTTTTCATTGACCTTTCCGACGTTTATAACATCCACACACTTGAGTAATCCCATTTTCAAGTGAGAAGTTTGTTATCGCTCCAGTCTAAAATCTGTTATCCTCACTTTCGGAACATCAATACTCGCGCATATAGAATGAAGTATTGGCTGAGTGGTAGCTGGCGCACAGTGATACTAAAGCCCAACAGTAAAACTATGGACATCTGTCAAAAGTTGTTCCAATCGAACGGTCAAAATGAACCGCTTTGCTCGATTGGAACAGCTTTTTTCTGTTTTGTGGTGACAGT